CCGCTGGAGCCGAAGCTCCAACCGCCCATGCCGCCGCCGAATCCGCCGCGCCGCCGCCTTCTCCGCTCCACGTCGCGCCTCCACTCCGCGCCCGCACCTCGCGCCCACGTCGCCGCCGATTCCCCCGCATCTCCCGGCCCGCGCGCGCGCTCGAGAGGGCGGGATTCGATTTCGAATCCACCTCTCTCACTCTCTCTCCTCCCCACGTCGCCGGCCAAATCGGCCACCTCCCCGGCCACGTCCGCCCCCTCCCGCACCTATAAATCGCTCCCCGCGTCTTCCTCTCTCGTTTTTCGCACTCGCCGCGCCCTCCCGTGCTTCCTATCGTCGCCGCGCCGCTCGCCCCTTGCGCCGCCGCCTACCGCCGTCTCCGGCCACGCGCCGCCGCCTCTATAGCCACCGCCGTGCCGCGCAGTCGCCGCCGTCGCGCTCACCGAGCCCGCCCGCACCTCGGCCACCATTCGGTTGCCGCCAATCGTCGCCGAAGCGCCGTTTCCCTCGCACGCCGGTGAGCTCTCCATTTCCACCCAACTCCGGCCGGCTGCTCTAGCCGCCGTGGTCGCTCTCCCTACCCCTAACCCCTCTTTGTTTTCTCCTAGCGTGCCGCCGCCGCCCATCCGCACCTCGGCATCGCCGGTCGTCGCCGCCGCTTTCTTCCTTCGCGCCGGCCGTCGTGCTCATCGGTGAGGAATCCCCTCTCCCCCTTCCTTTTTCCCCCTCTCCCGTGTGCGCCGCCGGCCTTCGCGCGTGTGCCGTCGCCTTCAGCCGCTGCCGCCGCCTTTCGGCCGTCGCCGCCGCTTCCCGCACCGCCGGTCACCGCCGTCGGTGGCCGTGCCTCGCCGCCGCCTCGCCTTGGCCGCCGGTCGGCTTTGAGGCCGAGCCGAGCCCGGCTGGCGCCTCCCTCTCCCGCCCTGTGCCGCTGCCCAGTGGGGCCCACATGCCAGCCGCCCCCTCCCTCTCCCCTTGTGCCGCTGCCAGTGGGGCCCGCCTGTCGGCGCAGCCGCCCCACCCCTTGCTGACGTCAGCCCTGGGACTTATTGCGCAATAAATACATTAAGGCTTTTCTTTTATAGTAATAAACACAGTTTATCTTCTAAAATTCATAAGTAATTCATCCGAGCTCCGTTTAAGTCCATTCAAGTCTCAGTAAATCAAGAAAAATGCAAAGAATCCATTAAAAATGGTTTTGTTTCCTGTTTCAGTAGTCTTATAGCCTGTTTTGCTTGTGTGCTTTGTTTGTCGCGTAGGTTTCGGCCGTTTCGTCGATCCACGGTTTCTCGAAGACGTTGCTGAGGTCTCGTCAGTGCGAGAGCAAGGCAAGTCATGCTTTACATTTGATCATATTGTACCCAATTTACAAATATCCCGCATTTCTATTAAATGTTGCATTCTTTTACAATGTAATGTGGGATGGGTCCTATTCCTCAGCCACATATTGGTTACCCTATGCCATTGATAACCTGGGTATCAAAATGATTAGATGTTGGTTTAGGAAATGCTTAGCCATGCTTAGTTCAACTAGTACACAAAAAGGGATCACATTATTACTTAGACTTTGTCTATTGGCATAGCTTTAGGTTGGTGCCACCGCAATGGTGTTAGTTAATTAAAATACACTGAATGGTGGGCTGTGGGTGCATGGTTTTGCTGGTCGCACCCATGGCAGTTAAGGACCGGTTCACGGGAAACCCTGGGAGACTTACCGTGCTTACCACAAGCGGGAGTGGGTAACTGCTTGATCTGAAGTATAGCTCGACCCTTTCCTAGGCACCGGTGGCGAGGGTGGGCGTGATGGAGTTGGGTCGGCCGGGGTGTCCGGTTGTCCAGCTGCCGGATTCACCGCGGCGCAAGAGGGGACCGCCCACTGCCTTTTGAGGGGTGGGGGTGAAACCTTAGCGTGGTGTGGATGGTTAGGGGAGGGTTATGTGGAGGGTCTTGTCACGATTTCCCCCTTTGCAGTATCATGGTGATACTTCGGGGCATGGCGACATGTGTGGAATCGTGTCTTGTGGGTACAGTTGTACACCTCTGGCCAGAGTAAAACTATTCGAATAGCCGTGCCCGCGGTTATGGGCGATCAACCAGATTCACCGTGATTAGTCTCACCCCTAGTTTAGCTTAATGAACTGGTGTAGTTCAGGAGGTTGGTTGGGCCTGTTGCAACGTGGTGTAGCGTTGGACAGTGTTTGGTTAATATTGATTAATTACTACAGCTGTTTTACTGCTTTCAACTACTGCTTTGAAATGCCTGCTTTATGCAAAAGAACCCCTAGCTTCCTTTGGTTATATCCTGCATCATACCTCCTCTTCCGGTATGACTTGCTGAGTACAGTGGGTAGTACTCAGTCTTGCTCTCTTTTCCCCCACACCAGAGCTGAAGATCTTCCTAGTTGGAGCTGTTTTATCGAAGTTGGTTTCGTCGCTGCCGTCAAGGTTTGCCTGTGGAGTGGAGACACCCGCTGCTGAAGTCAAGCTTCCCGGTTTAGCTCGCTTTTATCTTTTCCGCTGCATTTGTAATCTTTTCTATTTTTTTTATAAGACGTGGATCTGTATGTCAACAATTGTCGTTTGTGTACCCTGGCTGGTCCTGGACAGGGATTTAATGCACATTCAGCTTAGAAATTCTGGTTCGAGAATTTCTGGGCGTGACAACGTAGGAAACAAATGGAAGTGAGGGCGGTGGCCTGAGCTAGGAAAGGAGGAATTCTATGCAGAGGCCAGAGGACAATGGGGAAGCGCCGGAGCATTTGCGTAGGACATGGAAGCGGCGACAGACGGCGGAGCGAGCGTCCATGGCTGAGATCGGGACGGTGCGCGAAGGGTTGTATGCAGGTGGCCAGGCTGGCGAGAAGCTGACCAGCAAGACGACCAGGTTGGTGGATTCAATTTCTGCACAACCAGGTTGGCACTCCTGAAGTCAGAGCTTGGACCGGAAGTGAGGAATTCTTTTGGTCTAAACAATTATGTACTCCCTCCGTCCAAAAAAAAAAGGCAAACCCTGGGTTTGCGTGTCCAACTTTGACTGTCCGTCTTATATGAATTTTTTTTAAAATTTGTATTTTCATTGTTGTTAGATGATAAAACATGATTAATATTTTATGCGTGACTTGTCTTTTTAATTTTTTTCATAATTTTTTCAAATAAGACGGACGGTCAAACGTTGGGCACGGAAACCAGGGTTTGTCTTTTTTGGATGGACGGAGTATTCGATAATGCTGTTGGCCAGTCGCCCGGCGCGGGCGGAGCTGGATCGGGCGCTCCCCCGCCGGAAATGCTACTGGGCGAGCGATCACTCGCCCGCCCAGAGCGATCGGTTCCCTCCCCCTCCCCCTCCCCCTCCCTCTCTCCACCTGGTTTCCTTTTTTGGCACCGCATTACTTTCCTATTTTAGTAAATTTATATACCTAAAGTTTATACACCAAGTTTACACATCTAAAGTTTAGAGACCAAAAGTTTATAAGTCAAAAGTTTATATATCTGATTCAAATTTGAATTTGAATTCAAATACTTTTTATATATAGTATTTCTATACATCTAAAGTTTATACACCTAAAGTTTATAGACCTAAAGTTTATATATCCGATTCAAATTTGAATTTGGATTATGTCCGATTCAAATTTGAATTTGAATTCAAATATTTTTCATATATAGTATTTCTATACATCTAAAGTTTATGCACCTAAAGTTTATAGACCTAAAGTTTATATACCCGATTTCAAATTTGAATTTGAATTATACCCGATTTAAAATTTGAATTTGAATTATATCTGATTCAAATTTGAATTTGAATTCAAATTTCCGATTTAAATTTGAATTTAAATTTAAATATTTTTCATATATAGTATTTCTATAGGCCTAAAGTTTATAGACAAGTTTATAGATCCAAAGTTTATAAGTCAAAAGTTTACGTACCCGATTCAAATTTGAATTTGAATTCAAATTTTTTGTACATAAATTTTTTCTAACGTTTTGTTTTTTTAAAATTTTTGTGTGGTGTACTGTAATAGGAAAAAAAAAAGGGGAGGAGGAAGGGGAGAAATGAGGGGCGGGACCGATCGCTGGATCGCGATCGCCCATCAGACGTCCCCGCATCAACATGCAGAACCACTGAGCCACACATGCACATGCATGGGCACGCATACATACATGCATATATACTGCTCACATGTAAACACACGTATCTGCATGCTACAGTACCTCACCCATCTGTAGCACCATATACTCTTCTCGAATTTCTTCCAATCTCCTTCGCAGACACCGAAACTTGCACACACACCTCGTGAAACCCGTTGCGAAGATCTCTCCCACACGATGTCCATCCATCATGTGTCATGTGCCATGTGCCATCTCGTACCTAATTTCGTCATCTGGTATCCTTGATCGTCTAGACCTCAACTCCTCCCTGAGTCGACTAGTCCCGATCCCCACCGTTGACCGAAGTTGACCTCGAAGAATCCTAACTCTAGTCACCTTCTCACATGGTATCCTAACCACATTAGACCTCTGCTTCTCCCTGAGCATTGTCCCGATCCTCACAATTGACCAAGGCGGACCTCAAGCCAACTGCACATAATCAGACAGAACAATCGTTTCTGGGTACAGATATCACAACCTAACCCACATGAATCACACGCATTCACACCAACATTCACACATACTATAAAACCAATTCTTTGGTTAAATAATTTGCATAGCGAATTGTTCATCACAAATATTAATCATAACTTTACAGTAATAGAGGTATTCCTCATAAAAAACAATTATTTTTTTATTGGAAAACAGTATGGGAGGCCCCTACAATATATTAATTTTCTTTAAATTTAAATAGTTCATGTACGGCTGCAAAAGATTATGAAAGAAAATTTTTTTTTACTAATAGTTCCAATACTTAAAATTAATTATAAGAAATTTCATACATATATTCTCCAATCTATTTTTTCCATTACTTATTATTATTTTCTTAATTTAATAAAAAATATGAAAATGAAAAAAAATAAAGTGATTTAAAGAACTTATCAGTCCAAGATATACCGTTAAAACATTATCTTAAGAAAAGGATAACATATGTACAACATGAAGGATTCAAGATGGAGGCATCACAATCTCAAGTGCAATGTTATCTGGTAGATCTTCCCCTGGATTGTGTATGGTGGTAGTTCCTCGTTCCATGTTATAAACATATAATCCCTTATCTTTAGGTCTTACAAAGTAAATGCAGTTCCTCTTCAATCCAACATCTTCTGCATTGAGTGATGCTCCAAAGCCAGTACAGTCAACCAAAAATGCCTTGTTATCAATTGTGCTAACTTTCATCCAAATTCTTTGAGATAAATTGAGTTTATGAACTTCAATTTGCATAACCTTATCAACACATTCAATTGGATGTTTAAATGACAACGTGAACAACTCTCCACCTGATTCTAACAAGAAACAAGTAGAAAACGTGCACCAATAACTTGGATCTGGTGCATCCTTAACTGGCGTAGTTGTAAATGTTGGCTTTGGCAGGAATTCAAGTGTCAAAATTGCCTTATCCTGATTTAAATATGCATGGAATCTCCCCCCAACAGCCGTAAGGTGTTTCACAGTTGCAATAACATTTTCTCTGTCCTCTCCTGTACTAATCATACTTGATTGGTACTCATGCCTGAACCATACGTCTCCTTTAGGATGGCAATACCAGAACATTGTGTCCCTGCAATTTACTACTAGCACGATACAGTTTGGATCAGAAGGTTTATGTGATAGAAAGCACTTGACCACATTATTATTCGCAAGAAAATTGTCTTCATCGAAGGGTAGGTTGATCTTTTGATTTGTGATGGGACTCCATAGGAAAATTTCATACAATTCAAGGTGCACCATAAGCAACCAGCCTTGTGCTGTTATCCAATATAAGTGGATGCCGAATTCATCCACTCTTTTGGATAGCAATTCTCTTTTAGCTATACTGTAGAAGAAAAGAGTGTCATCTTCCTCCTGATCATCGCTGTCATCACTTTCCTCCGTTCCAGCATCATCGCTTCCATCATAATCTCTTTCGCACGTGTGATTGTCATCTTCATCCCCAAGGTCACAATCATCCTTATCGTTATCAACGATATCCTCATCATGTGAATTTTCATCCCCGTGATCTAATTCTTCCTCTTCATCATCTATGGGACAATATTCATCATCGGTGTTGCCCTTGTCGTCTGTATCAATAATGCGGTAAGCAACCAACAGTAGCACCGGGGCAAGCTTAGGATCTAGAAGAGCTAGATGTTCTTGGTCTTCCTTACAACTGTCTATACTGTGGGATAGCATTTTTTTTCCCTGTGACAGTGCTGCAGAAATTTATTGAAAGGTTAGACTGCTTTGTTTTTCTTTTTTTAAAAAAAAAAAGAACGAGCTACCATGAGCCAAGTGTGCTAATATCATTGAATAAATAAGAGGGTTAGACAACATGCTCTTACTAACAAAAAAAAGGTTGAATTGTATTTTAAAAGGAAAATAAACAATTTAAGGATTCTTATTGTTTTTATTTTTTCTTTTTCCGTCAGGACAGCAAAGACACACTGGCCAGATTTTATTAAAAACAACACGTAGGTACAAACGCAATAAACATAGAATGAATTTACTGAGTAAAAATAACATCCAATTAAACACATAAAAGACCAAACCAAACTACGGGCCCCTTAGAAAAAGATTATTCGCCTGATTACTACCGTGGATTATCTATTTGATTAGAAAAAAAATGGATTATCTATTTGATTAGAAAAAATAAATTAAATATTTTAAGAAATAAATTAATAAGTACTCTGTAGCTTAATACCAATGATAAAATAATGTAGTAAAAGAAATCTCTAATAAATATTTAATTTATTGGCTAACTAACTGCATATTCTCTTCGTTTTAAAATAAATAAATCTATAATTTTAATATGAGATATGACAGCATAGTAGGGATGTCTTGTATGGTTTATTTTGGAAAGGGATAGAGTAAGGGTGTGTTTAGTTCACGTTAAAATTGAAAGTTTGATTGAAATTGGAACGATACGATGGAAAAGTTAAAAGTTTGTGTATAGAAAAATTTTGATGTAATAGAAAAGTTTAAAGAAAAAATTCGAAACTAAACTCGGCCCAAGTAACGATATTACTTAGTATGAAGTAGTCGGATGTTTGATGCCATACCTTTACGCGTCGACAGCAGCTAGCCAGTGGCCTAGTGCTTCGCGCTGCCTCGCCGATACACTTCGCGCTGCCCTGTGTCTATTTATTGGAACTCCTCGTCGTCGTGGGCTGAACTGGATTCACCAAGCGGATGAGAATTGGATATGGAATCGGACGGATAGTTGGTGTATACACGTTTTCGGCTATGATGCGCTGATAGGGCAAGCTAGGTGCGTGTCTGTGTCTGACACGGATCCAGTGTCCCGTACGTATCTACGAGGATACGTTAGGTAAAACTCCAACTCTTAAATTTAGCTTCACAGATTAGGGATCAGTTTAGCACAGCTCCATCTCTAGCTCCAACTCTGGAGCTTGAGTTTAACCAAACAGATTTAACTCCACCTAAAAGAGGAGTGGATGTGGTTTAATTTGCATGTGAGACGAGAGGAGCCCCGTGTCACTTAGGGGCAGGGGCGACACGGGCGGCGACCACCACCGCCTCCTCCTCACCCCCGCCTTACTCCCTCCTCCGCTTCGTTGTCGCCCAAGCAGACGCCGGAAAACGCACGGCTACAAGGACGGGGCGGGGCCTTCCAACTCCCTCGAGGTCGCGGGGTCAGTGCTCATGACCCCGGCCAGATCAAGGCAGCGACGGTGTGGCTGCGTCGAGTCGTCGGGGTGTCGGGCAGGGCGAGCGGAGGCGGGCTAGGTGCGGGGGTGGCGACGGTGCCAGACTTTGTGTCCCTCGCCAGATCCGGGCCCCACTCGGTCTGGCCACCCTCTCGCGGACAACGGCGACAACCAAAGGTGGAGGCAAGGAAGGTAGATGGCAGGCGCCGAGGAAGAGAGCAGCGGCGACGACGAGGCCAGATCCACGGCGGGCTCTGCCAGATTTGGAGCCGGCGAAGGTGGAGGAAGGGGAGGATGAGGTGGCAGGCGGCGAGGGCGCAGGAGAGGTGGCGGTGGGGCGGCGGCTACTGCAATGGGCGCAGCCAGAGCCTGCCAGAGCTAGCGCCCCTCGGACGTAGTAGGGGGCATGAGGTGGCGCTGAAGGCGCCGTCGCGACATGGCGGTCATGGCCTCAAGCGCGCGGCGACATCCATCACAGTTGGCGACATGCAGGGGAGTTTTCTAGGCGCTGGCGTCGGCTTGTGCTCCACTGGTGGCAAGGCATCCTCTTCTTCATGCAGCTCCTCCTCCTATGGCCAGCTCAGATGTGGTCGCGGAGAGATCCATGGGGAGGATGGAGGCGGTGCCTTGCAGAGGGGAGTGGCTTGACGGCGTTCAAAGCGACGTTGTTACTCTGCCGGAACTGTGGGCGATGGCCTAGGCCTAATCGCTGAAGAGACTATGTAGTAGACCGGCGACGATCCTTCTTGTGCGGATTGGTTGTGTGGGTTTGGACGGGTAATCGCTGGCGAAAGCCTCGCCGGGACGTTGGCCAGCTGACGATGGCAATGCCTTTTGGCGTCGCTCCCCTCTTGGAGGCGTCGTTATGGCATTGACCCCTCTCATTTCCTTACCCAGGGGCGGATCTACAGTATAGTCATTGGTGTCAGGCGACACCGATGACTTTCGGCAAAACCTATAGCAAAACTACTTATCCATATATTATATCATCATATTCTAAGCATAATTAACATACTATGACACTGATAGACACGTTATGATACCAATTAAACGATTTTCTAGATCCGCCACTGTCCTTACCGCTCTCTGGGTGAAAACCTTACTCCAGCTTCCGACGAGCCGTGGCGGCAATCTATGTCATGTCCAGCTTGGGGGCATCGCTTTGTAGAGACTTCTTCGTGCAAGGATATCGTTGATGGTCTATGCATTGGCTTCGAAGCTTTTAAATCCTAGGTTTTGACGAGGCCTTCGCTTTCTGGTCCCACCTTTTGTTTTGCGGTGGGCGACCTTCGCTCTTTGTTTGATTTTGCTAGGTGGAGTCAGAGCTGGTTCGTCGGGGTGACAAAGCTGGGCAACGATGACATGCTACATTCTCTTTCTAGGGGTGTTGTTGTTGGCTGTGAATAGGATGTGGCGCTTACGCGGCTTTGGCTGAAGTTCATCGTGGAAAGTCGAAGCCACTTGATCATTTTGGCAGCGAGCTTGGTTTGGATGATGCATCTGGTTTGAAGTCGGTGCTACTCTGTCGCTTGGCAGCAAGCTCGGCAACAATGACACGGTTGCAAAGTCAGAACCCCTATGTCTTTTCGGTCAAGCTTGGTAACTATACCCTAAGTTGGGCTCCGTTAGTGGTTTCAGTTGTTAGTGAGTTATGGCATGTGCTGTGTAGTTATTCAGCCAGCCGGTGGTTGTTTTTTTTTTCTTTTCTTGTAACCCATCTAGGGTTTTACTCCTGCTTATTGAAAATATAATTGACAGTTCTCCTGCTGGTTTAGTTTAAAAAAAAGGAGTGGAGCTGAGTAAAGCGCTCTCACAAAATAAACTAGAGAGGTAGAGTTGGGTTTAGATAGCTCAACAACTCCACTCCAGACTCAACTCCTGGAGATAAATTTAGGAGTTAGAGCTTTACCAAACAGTCCCTAGGTCTGGAGTATAGTTATGGAGCAGCCTAAACCCAAAACCACCTCTCTAGTTCGTTTTGTGATAGCGCTCCCCCAGTTCCACTCTCATTTTAGATGGAACTGAAACTGTTTGGTAGAATTTCAAGAGCTCGAGCTGTGCTAAACATACCCTTATTTTCATGATTATCACATCTATATCTACTAAAGAATCCATAATTTTCTGATCGTACTAATACGCTTCGATCCGTCATGGTGCGGCTTCACCCGTCATGCATGTTGCGCCCGTCGCCCCCTAATACCGGTCGTTCCTTTGCGTCATCAGAATCAGAGAAAGGGAAAAATCATAACAACAGAATGCTCATAAGAATCCAATCTTAAAAAAGCACTTTCCAAAATAGGTGTTTTACAGCTTTTATCCAACCAAATCGGATACATAACACCACAAGGGAAAAACAAGAACCAAAGCTAAAAAGCTAACCAAAAGTTCCCTAAGAAAACCCAATCTTTGTTATACCTCCATCCACATGAGAGGCATCATCGACGTCACATCATCTACCAGCCACTGAACCCCTGTTCTCATCACCCTTCCTCTGCTCCCATCACCACTAGATGTAGAGGTACTTGTGGAGGCAGCGACAACGATCATCGGACCCCTGGTAGGGCATAGGCAAGCATAGAGATGACTGGCGAGGAGACGATATCAGGATGGAGGAGGAGGAGGGGGAGGAGGTGGTGGAGGGCGTAGGGGCGGGACGGAACCGTGCAAGAGGAGGCAGTGGATCAAGGTGGGTCGGCGGCGCTACACGGAACAGAGGAGAAAGTGTTGCGCCGTGTGGAGTGGGGGAGATGCGTCGGCATAGATGTAGTGGGTGGAACCCTTAGGGTTAGTTTTAGTTGGGCTGCCAGAGCTGCTTTGTTTTGTTTTTTTTTTGTTACAAATAGGTCCACTTTACATCCCTTAAAATTCATAATTTTCCAATCGTACTAATACGCTTTCGTCCATCACAATGCGCCTTCACCCGTCGCACGTGTTGCACCCGTCGCCCCTAATCCTGGTAGTTCCTTCGTATCATCAGAATCGGATAAAGGGAAAAAATCATAACAACAGAATCCTCATAAGAACCCAATCTTACATAAGCACTTTCCAAAATAAATGTTTCATAGCTTCCATACAACCAAATCGAATGCATAACACCACAAGGAAAAGACAAGAACCGAAGCTAAAATGCAAATCCAAAAATTCCTTAAAAAAAATCTTTGTTATACCTCAAGCCACATGAGATGCATCATCGTCATCACATCATCAGCTACCAGCCGCTGAAACCCTGGCTCCCTTCCTCCGTTGCCATCACCACTAGATGTAGAGGTACTTGTGGAGGCAGCGACAATGAGCGTCGGAGCCCTGGTAGGGCAAGGACAAGGACAGGGATGGCCAGTGAGGAGACGATATCATGATGGAGGAGGAGGGGGGGCGGGGCGGAATCGCGCAAGAGGAGGCGGTGGGGCACGACGGCACTACACAGAACAAAGGAGAAAATGAAATGTCGCGCAATGTGGAGCGGGGATAGGCAGTGGTGCGTGATGCGGAGCTGAGGCAGCGGCGTAGATGGTGTGGGTGGAACCCTTAGTGTTGGTTTTAGTTGAGCTGATTGGGCCTATTGGGTAAAATTTGCTTTGTTTTGTTTTTTTGTTACGAATATGTCCACTTTACATCCCTTATCTTTCTGTCGGGTTTAAATTGTATCCCTGAACTACAACACCAAAAATCTTGAAACCCCCCCCAGAAAAAAAAAACTTAGAAAACTAGTTTAAATTAGATCTCCTGGTAGTATGAAGTTGGTTTCACTAATGTGGCATCCCGGTCCGGTAAAGTATGAAGAAAATAAAAAAAAACATAGGAGGAGTAGCTAATCAATCATATTACCTTTTTTTTTCTAAAAGAATTATCGAAATAAACCTATTCAACTATCTAATTGTTCATGTTATAAGATTAAGAACCTATCCCTTTTTCATTTGATTTTTGACCTATGTACCTTATATTTGAGCTCATTGAGTTGCATATTTTTAATTCATTTTAAGCATTTTATCATGGGATTTGAGCTAATCTAGTTGTTGAGTTAGCTTCATGATTTTTTTTCATGACTTTTGATGATGCAGTCCCATCCACCACGAAATATTTTTTGCAGAGCATCCTACTTTGAATTGAAGCGGTTATAGTAATTTTCTTTCCTTGCTTTACTGTTATGTCATGAAAGGTAGATCCGACACCTACGTTTGGATTGATTTCTTTGTAAGTTATGAGTTGTAACTGCAGATTTTTTTTTCCCTAAGAGTAAATTTTACAAAACTAAGGGTATTTTGATCATAATATCATAAAACTATATATTTAAGACATTATATTACAAAACTACAGATTTAGCACTAAATTTATCACAAAATTACAGATTTAAGGTTAAGTATCATAAAACTATATGTTTAATACTAAAGTTATCACAAAATTACATATTTTAAAGTTTAAATCTCTAGCACTATTGTTAGTTTTGTGACTAAATTTGTTCTAAATCGTTTTATGATAATTTTGTTA